AGTTGTCTTATATTTTTAATAATTTTCATTTTTCTTTAATAAAATTTAAATAAATTTTTTTTCTCAAGTAACTTTCTAAGTTTAAGTACTAATACCTCAAGAATTAATTTCAAATAATAATTTTGTTATATCTTAAAAAAAATTAATTTCTATTTATTTTTATTCAATTCCAATATAATAAAAAGCTATCCGTTTACTTCATTATTTATAAAAAAAACCTATTGATGCGTTTTGATATCCTTGTCAATAAATTAAAGAAAGCAAATTTGTCGAGGAATCTATTTTTAAAAGAATCTATTTTTTTCCAAGTTCCAAATGTCACAAATACTGATACATCTTAACAGCATTCTTCGTGCAGCTTTTTTTCCAATTTAGTCCAGTTGCTAAAAGCGTCGCATTAACGCTCTTGTCCGACTCCTACGACCGGTCTATAAAGCTTCCTTACGAGATACACAGAAATGTATTTATCTTATCTCCAAGAATAGCTGCTTTGATCTACCTAACCAGCGTCGCACGATTGACGTTTCAAAATTTTTGTTCTGCCAATCACACCCTAGTCAGCATGGACAAGAGAGGTATGCTTGATTAACGTTCGCAAAGAACAGAACGCGCTATTTTTGTATTTAAATCGTAGCAATGTTCGCTATTTTATTTAAAAAAATTTTGTTTAATAAATTTAACTTTCCATCTAATTTGCACGTACTTCTACGTTCTATAAAAAAAGTATAATTTATTTTTAATGTATAGTAATAAATAGTATACTAATTTGCTTTTGAATTTTACAAAATAAATTTTTATTCACACCTTAATACACTAAAGACGATAAATTTTATACTAACTCATCAACAAGTCATTCTTTTAAATTGTTATACTACGTAACGTATTAATGATTCGATAATACAGAAGATTATGTATACGTTATGTATTTATGATTAAAATCATCATTAATTATTACAAATTAAAGTGTGGTAATTAATAATAAATGTGAGAAATTAAAAGTACAATTTCTGTTGTTAATGCATAAAAATTCAATTTTCTTGATTTCTATTGTTTGCCATTAGATTTAGAGTTTCTTCACATTTTTTTCGGTACCTTGTACAGTATAGGAATGCTCTTATATATGTATGTACGTTCACATGACGTCGAGACACCTGATGATAACACCGTAACAACGCGGCCAGCTGAGCACGTGATTCTCATTACAATAATTCGAATGACTGAGGAAGTTGATGATTACCCCCTAATATTATTCGCGTGAATTAGGAATTGTCGGTCGTGCAGTCCTAATTTCTGTAATTCAATCCTTTAGTCGTGACTCGGAGAAACCTTGTAAAGACTGCCACATACCTGTTGCTTGTTATGTGCGAACGATTTAAACTTTCAATTGTTATTGAAATGATAAAAAAAGAAAATTGGTAATTATCGTATAATGCTGTTAACGGCAATTAGAAATTCTCGGTCATTGTATGCGCAGTTCTCATATGATTCAATTAAAATTTCTCATCAAATATTGTAAATACAAAGAATACGCGATCTCTTATCGCGAATTTAGCACGGTCTAACGAGGCTCCGATCCGCGCGAAGGCGAAACTTATATACAATATACATATTTGTGATCGATGTCGATACGACGATACATCTCTATCGTCGCGTCGCAAGCAGATAATTCGTTATGTCCGCGACACAATTTTATAAAAAATTACGTAAGGAGCCTCGAGACGCTAATTAACGTGAATCATGGATGCGGATTCGACGCGATTGTCATGTATTTTAATCACAGTCGCCGGCATCGAGGTTAATGAAATATAATCCTCAATTAATAAGTAGTCGTACGTTTAGCTTTATTCTTATGAATTTTTCCTGAGAAATACGGCGTCTCGCACGTGTCATTTTATTCGTTCAGTGACGAAGATTGTAGATATTATAACAATACGGCGGTTTTTCAAGTTGCCGATCTTTCTTTACTTTGAACTCTTTCTCCTTATTTAACCTCTCCCTCTCTTCCTCTCTCTCTCTTTTTCAATTATTTATACTAATCGCTTATTATTTGCAGGACCCATTCCGGGATGCAAGCCTTGCACCTATTCCGAGATGACTTACTGCAAGAATGGCAGCGTTATCAATGATCATTGTTGTTGCGATGGCAGCTTCAACAGTAGGTATTTGAGTGGTTGCATGAAAAAAAAAATGAATAATTTTGCAAGTCTAGTAAAACTATTCTGACTATTTTTGTGGAACTTATGACAAACTTTGCTTGCCTAAAAGTAAAAGATACCAGAGGTGTAAGATAAAAAGTACATTACAATTATAGGAAATTCATTCAAGTTGTTACTTATTATCTTACAGTAAAATAAATCATACTATTTTCAAGACTGTAATTTCGAACAACTCTCAAGACTTTATTTGTATATTTTATTACCGCGCAAATAAATTTTGTCAGCACCATGCAAGACAAAAAATATTCGTTGATAAAATAAATTTTACTGAGATGTATGGTAATTTACAGATTGAGAAATAATAACAAAGTGCAGTAGCATAAAATTTATTTTATGAAATGTAAAAAGCATCTTACAATATGGCTATACGACGACCGTTTATTTACCAGAAAAGTAAAGTAAATTTTACGTAAGTGAGCGTCTGACTCTATACATGGACCTGTCAATTTCATCAAATTTACTAGAATTCCAGCACATTACTTTATATTTTTCTCCATTACTTTATATTTTTCTCTGTGGAATGATAATATAATTAATAACACTCTAGATAAAGTTACACGCGAGCGCTCGTAACTCGTTTTACGATGGGCTAACGAAGCAGCACGTGATTTATCTCGGCGGTAACAAGCCGATCGAAATCGGCTTAACCTTCTCGACGACGGAAGTTGTGTTTTCCGCTCTCGTCCTTCGTTTATTCATGCAGTGACGAAGTCGTATGAAAAACCACAGTCCCCGGCCGACGAATTCGTGCGTGAACAATCGGCCGTGGCGAGTGAGTGCTTGTGTAACCGCGCTTCACGGAAATTTAGAGCAACGGCAATGATAGTGAGCGCAATTTCACGATTTGCACAATGCCAACGCGAGTCGTGCGACGTAATCGCAATTATTTTTAGTCGATGCACTACGTGCCGTTACAACTCGAATTGCATATTAATACCTTGAATAATCGTGGGATCGACAAAACGCTTATATGTGTTATAGAATTCCTCGCGGTATCCTTAGAGATACCTTCAGAAAATTTCGAAAGCTTATGAAAATTACTTTTATGTTGCTCAAATGTAAAAGATGTGATATAAAAGTAATATTAAATTGAAAGAGTATAATAAATAAATTCATTTTAAATATTTGGTATTACGAATGTTATACAGTCCCATATAAAATCATCATAAATTTATGTATTTAAAGAAATAAGTCATATCGCTTAAATTTAGTTTAATCCTATATTTTTATGCTTCATTAAAGAAAAATCTATTTTTTATATTATTTTTCAATCACTTAACTAATTCAATAAAGTGTATTTGTTATTAACAAACTTGACATCGTTTGCATCTAGAAATAAATTATAGTATTAGAGAGATTAAGATTGCAAGAAGAAGGATAAAATTACATAACTACCAATTTCCAAGTTTAAATTGTTGTAAATCGCAATTTAAGTTATTTTAAATTTAATCCTCTTTTCAACTTGAATAATTATTTAAACGCCATATAATTTATCAACTTAAGGGCTATAATTTCTTTATATGCCGAGAAGAGTTTAATTCCCTTTTTTTGAACGGAAGGACAGTCACCTGTTCAGGAAATCATTCCTCGTCGTAATGAATTATCCTTGTCCTTCCACGCGCGTGTGTAAGATCTAACGAGTGATTCACTCGTGCGAGTCATCGAGAGTCACTTGAGCATTCCGCACGCTTCCCGAACTCCTCACAGGACTATCGTTCATCGACCTGCGCTACCTTTGCTCGAATTTCTAATTAGCACGGTATAACACGCCATTTATGAAACAATATTAAATAAATTTACTTCAAAGCAAACATTAAATGGCATTAACATATTTGCAAGTTTGTACATTCTTGTACACTTCTCAGAAGAAATGAACATCGATAATCAAACCAAATTATAAACTTATTTTTATCTCGCTAGCAAGCTTAACGAAATGATTAATTAAAAAAGACATTTCAAACACTTTTTATTTTTTTATAAAGTTTTCTGATTACAAATTATATTTTTAAATTATATATTGACATAGATATATGTATGTATGAAGAAAGTAAACTTTTTTATGCCTATAAAGTTTTTTAAAAACTTTCATGAGGTTCGATTAGTATTAGTTTTAGTTTTTAAAAGAAAAAAATATGGAAATACTGTCGTGTGTAGAATTAAAAGTGTTTCTAAATTATTTGTATTTTCGTCCAAGACGTTGAATTCGTTGTCATTGCATGACCCGCGTGAAGATTCTGTAGGTGTACGAAGTTGCATTGTTGCACGCAGCAGCTATGCACGTGGAATACCTAAAACTCGAATCACCTTCCAATCGCACCTGTGAATCACCTGTGCGTTTTGCGCTCGTTTCTAATTGCTTTCGATCGATTAAGTGTTTGTGTCGAAGCATTTGTCTCGAATCATTCATATCATTCTTTCCGGAATTGATAACGTGCCGGAAGCCTCCAATATCGTTAGGTAAATTAATTATCGTCCCACGAAACCGGTTAATTATCGCAACACTTATATTTAATGGAGGTTTGCGTTCAAGCCCCTCCGAGGTGTGCGTAAAATTATGTTTGCTATGCCTTAACGGCACAATGCCTTCGTGACGTCGTAATTTCCTACTGCAATTGCACTACTTACTCAAGTACTATTAATCTATTATTTACAATAACTCCGGTTATTAACTGGATCAAAGAATAATGGACAGATGGCTGATTTAGAAAATCATAACGTAATTAATGAGAGCTAGCAAAAATATAGGTGATATTTAATTGTAAAAAAAAAAAGGTAATATAGTCAGAGTTACATCGATCTCATACTGAACAATAAAAATTGAAAGTATTGGCCATTACTTTGCTTAAAGTTGGCAAATTTTGGAATATCAAAGACAAGAAAATACACGTTAAAAGAAAACTGCTTGTCACGAGAATGTAATTTATCTGTTTGTTGTTTCAGAAATATTTCCCTTCGTCGAGCACACTTGTCGCGTGGGACCAGAGGAATGCAAGGTGCACGCTGAAGACTGTGCGGAATATACAAGACTGCGGGAATGCTGTTGTCATTCGTACTTGGCTTCCACCTGTAAGCGCTAAAATCCTTTAGACATTTTGTCTATCATAGACAGTATTTTACGCTCTTTCTTGTCGTAAATCATATAATTATTGAAGTTACAAGGTATCAATCGTACATACTTGTAAGCGCTAAAATCCTTTAGACATTTTGTCTATCATAGACAGTATTTTACGCTCTTTCTTGTAAATCATATAATTATTGAAGTTACAAGGTATCAATCGTACATATTTGTCTACTTATAGCATAGCATATTGCGAAATATGAGTTTAAAGGCAGGCGTTTTATTGATGCGCGTATATACGAGTTAATTAAAACTTTATCTAGGCCATTAGGTGAGGCTGATTATAGAAAATAAAGATTATTCTATGATTAATCTTTGTAATAATGTCGATAAAAAAGGCATTTTCTTATCTCGGCTGATTTCATGATACAAAGTGCAATTTTGTCAGAGTAATACAAAGTATCATTTTTAACTTTATTATAACTTCGTGATACGATATCATAGCAATGTCATTCGTAATCCCAAGGATGTCGATATGCAAATGCAAGAATATACTTTGGAATCATCCGATCCGCGAACTATGCTCGAATTACAAACTTATTATCGCATGCGGTGTCGATTTTTAAATTGAATGGCGATAGTATTGTGAAAGAGATATATATTCTGTAAGATCAATTATATAATTATTTTAATTCTTAATTATGTTATTATGCATTAAAGAACATTTTTATTAACACTTTCTGTGATGTGTGAATCGCCGGTGATCTAAGACTTTCGGACGGTGAGCTGGACTTTCTGTTCAGGCTGTGTTTTATAAAAATAATTCTTGAATTTTTAATTAAATATGTTACAAATTATATTTTACATAACAAATATAGAATATTGTCTGTTTTCCACGCAACAGACAAATCACCTAAAATTGGTGCGGCACGGAACGTATTAATCGTAAAATCTCTCTACCTGTCTTATGCACTTTTTAAACAAATGAATTTCTTTGTTGGATTCATTATTGGAAGGATATTTAGAATATTTCTGTGCAATATTAATATTTTAGAATATTATTTCATAAATATTATCATATAGTTATTACATCATTACAATATGTTGTAATAGCAAATTAATAAGAATTTCTTTTGCAGGGAAACACCTGGCGAGTGGCGCCGAATCACGGGCCAGTATGAATCCCATCAAATTTGTGATGATCCTTGTGATGATTCTCAGGTTACATCTGTTGTTGGCCTAAAACGCACAGCACCAAAAATTTTGTATATTATTAATTATTTTAATAAATTGTTTTTATTATTGAGATCCAAAGGAACTGGCAATTCTTCGATAAAAATTCGACTCTAAATGTAGGATTTTAAAAAGCGAATATATGTAAGGCAAACGAAATTAGGAAGCGAGAGAAAAAGATAATATTGTTTTTTAAATACAATTTTCTGACATTATTTATAGAAAAGATACTGATTGTGATAATACGGGAAGGTTGAGTAGTATTGAACATTTTAGATTTTTCGAGGTTTCGTTTTCTTGGATTGCAAAAATTAACTGTAATGTACATGAAACATTATTTTTATTAAAAAACATACTTTTAATAATATTTTTCTAAAAATAAAAGTATAGCCAATCTTATACATTTTTAAATATAAAAATATGTCGTTACATGAAATATCATTACATTTTCTTGTTTTTGCCAATTGTAGATAGCATTGCCTTGGAAATGAATTTTTTTAAACATATTTTTAGATTTCGCAATTATCTATGAGTAGTTTTTTAATGATATACCTTGTTCCAATAGCTTTTAATCTATCTCGTAATGTACTGTTTGAAACTCTCAACAAAGTAAGAAAATGTTCGATACTATCAAACAAAAACAAGAAAATACCCGATACTATCTAAATGACGTACAACGAAGAAACAATGTATAAAACGAGTTTTAAAACAAGAACGATATTATAAACTATAATATAAAAAATAATAGATGTAAAAAATAATAGTTGTTATATTGATAAACTAAAAACAAAATTCAACTTACATAATGTGACTGATTGGTATATACAATTAATCTTATGCTGATATAAACAACAGTTACATAATAAAATAATAAAATAACTCAAACACTGCCGTTATTCTCAATATAGAGAGGTCCTGGCTCTCATATGCGAGTAGATTTGCCAATAGCTTAACAAAAGCTGTTACATGCATCTAAAATTTTAAACAATTCTCATCCGATACCACTCAACCTTCCTCTATGAATTGTTTATATGTACAAATGAGGTGTAAATATATTTTGCGCAAATTTTCAGAGTTTTAATTATAAATAAAATATTATTATGCAGATTACTGATAGTTTCTGTAAACAAAAACTTGTGAACTCGTACAAAAAGTTACAAACCTAAAATAAATATGTCTCTCTCATAAAATATATTGCATTGTATCGCCGAGTAAGAAAGATTTAATGCAATGTTGAACGTTTCGTGGTAATATGATGTATGAGATTGTTAGTGGCACGCGATCTATTGTCTGAGGCTTAATTGCTATTACGACAGCATTTACTATACGTACGTGACAAATATAAGAGATATATTTATACTTTAAACTCCATTGAATATCATTCCTATGAAAATTAATTTCCGATACGTCAAAAATGTGTGTGTGTGTGTGTGTGTGAGAGAGAGAGAGAGAAGTGAAAAAATACTAATTTTTAATCCTGAAAATCAAGTAACAGAGTCTTTCAAATTAGTATATATTAAATTTCAATAAATATTACATACTTTATTTTTGAAAATTAGATATTTGAGAAAAAAGATGTATCGTATGTATTTAGCACAAGATTACGAACTTTTGTTAACAATGTTCTGCAAAATTGTAAGAACTGCAATATCAGCAATTTTTTTACATTAAAATTTTTCTGAAAATTTTTAATTTTATCAAACTTTGAATTATTTTAAATTTCTTATGCGCATAAATATAAACGGCATACTTGCTGGCATAAATAACATGCATTTTTCTACTATTGGTACCTATGGTTACTATTGAATGTGTTTGGTTTATCATGGAATTGTTTTCTTATCATAAAGATAAAAGCTTAAGCATAATTCTATGAAAAAAAAAATTGTCTGGACCTTCTAATTCGCCTCGTTTCGATCTACATTTTTCAATTTAATATACATTCCAATTCTACTTTAAAATTGACATAGATATAGTTGGATATCAAATTTTTTTTATTCATAATGTTAAGTGGCACACAATAATTAAATTGATAACAACATTTAAATAGTATTAATTGGATACGTCATAAATCGGTCTTTTACAAAGATTATTATTTTTTAAATTAAAATTATTAACTAATTTTTATTGTTTCTTAGGTAAAAAGTTACAGTAGAATTTTATATTATACAATATTAAATTTTATATGATGTAATATAATATAAAATTATGTAATTCTTTTTTTTAAATTAATATAGGAAATACAGTCGAACCTTCGTAAAGTTAACCTTCGTTTTTATTTTAATCTCCATAAAAGTCATGTCTTAACCTTCCATCGAGCACATATACTCGCGCATGCACATTTGTTTACATTTGTTTACTTTTACGGAGATCGGTCGGTCCCGACAAATTTCTGTTATAGAGGTTCGACTGTACATATAATAAAATTTTATAATGTATATAATAATATATATGTATCTAATTACAATGCAGCAAGTAATACAAATACAGTAGATTTTAAAAATATATAATTACGAAAAATATATAAATATGTATATATTTATTTGCAATTATTTGATGAAACAGAATATTCAATGAGAAATAATTATTTGTTTCTTATTTAAAAAATTTTTATGATTTTTTAAATGAAAATTACCGTATTATACGCACCGTGAGGACTAACAAAATTATTCATGAAGATAATTATTTTCCAATATCAACATCTACATACGTCGTCTGCGTTTTTTTCTATTTTGGACTCACCGACACATAAGAAGAGAAAGATGATCATCAACCAGTTACGAGTAACGGGTACATCGACCGCGTTCTACGAGGAAGGCGAGGCCCAGCTAAAAGTTACGTGGGTTTACGAAAGAAATCGAAGAGCACGAACAGTGAACGATCTCATTTGTCTGAAAAATCTCAGCCGCGTCAAGAGCTGCAGCGAGTGCGCGCGGAAAATTTAATCTCGTTCGTTTTTTTTTAATGAGAAAATGTCACTATTAATTCTTTTGGGCGTTTTATTGCATTGTTGTGCATTTGGTATATCGGGTGAGTTAATTTACTCAATAATTATTTAATTGCACATCAAAGAAAACGATATTTTCTATGAAATGCTGTAAAAAAGAAATTTATTAATTAAATCGTATTTAAATTGTACATAGATAGTAATTTGTAGTCTTGATACGACTTCTCAACTTGTTTGAATAATTTTTACCGTAAAATTATTGAGCATATTTATTGTGTGATTTTGAAAATATTAATGAAATTATTTGTGATAATTATATCGTGTGCCATCTTAATGTGTATAAATAAGATAAAAAGTTAATAATTTTTGTTTAAATGGTTATTAATTTTTTAATTTAGTAACACATTTTGAGTGTTTTTGTAATAAGGAGAATTTTCTATAGAAAACTTTTCTTTAGAAAACAGTTTTGGTGATCGAAATTTTGAAGAAGAAATTGTTTTATTTTAAATTTAATCATTTTAGTTAATCAAGGTATAAACTATCGGTGATATTTCGAGTTATGTCACTTTTGATGAATTATTACGAATTTATTATAATTTTGTAAGATATCAAAATCGTCACAAATAAAAAAGAGTGTTATTTTTTAAGTCCCTTTATGAGCGACTTTCAGATGAACACGAGAAACTGGCAGGCAATCATGTGTCAGGGGCAACAAATGTGATGAACATGCCATTAACACCTTCGCCAGAGAATGTACGGCAATTTCAAGGAAATTATCCTTTCCCTTCGCTCGGATACAAACCACAAAGGTAAGTTTATAAATTTCTTATATTCATTCTTATAGGATCAACTTATTTTGCATTATACAATTTAACTAAAAATCAATATTAAGAATATTAGATCTTTTGTCATTCAATAATTATTAAATATAATTAATATTTCTTTCTCTACACGTCACAAATAACAAAAAAATGAGGGAACAAATCTAAAATTATGTAGATAACATTGCTTATTGCAAAGGGAAGAAATTGATACATTAAAAATGATACATTATTAACTTTCAATAGAGAATACTTATTTAAAATCAAATATAGGTTTTACTAAGAAGTTCCATTGGCATCAAAGTTATCTAAGATGTTATATGTATGTCTAAAGCGGAAATGTTTTTTAAGATGTCAGAAGCTTGTGAAAAGTGATCAAGAAACGTATATTCTAGTTCAAAAAATGAATTATTAAAATGAATTTTGGACTAAGCAACTGTTTTTAAACATTGGAAGAGTTTTTTTGAAGAAAATATTCAGTAAACATTAAAACTGAAAATGAGTCACATACATCGTTTCATGCAACGCTTTAGATAATTATTGATAATGCAACAAGAAACGTACAAATAGATTAACATTATGTCGGAAAATTTGTAAGTAATAACAATAAATTGAGTTTCAATACTGTAGGTGTTAAAGATTCTCGGAAAACTATATGTATACGAGCTCAGTATCACAATTATAATAATGCTGCCTTATCATTTATGTAAAAAATTAATATATGTAACTATTTCAACAAAAATATAAAAGACATATACAGGGTGAATCAGAGTAGTTGAAGTTTTTTACCCTACGAG